ACACGATTTTCCACATGTGTCAACACTTTTTCCACACCATGTCCACATGATTTTCCACATTGGTCAACACTTTTTCCACAGCAGGGCCAAGATATTATCCACATTGGTCAACACTTTTTCCACACCATGTCCACAAAGTTTTCCAGAGATTTTCCACATGTTCCCCATAAGTTTTTCACAGGCTGTCCACATGTTGTTGTGCTGAAAACTATTCCTGCCAGGCTCCCTGGGCGACCGGCGACAATGTTGCAGTTGCCGTGCGTTCCACCAGGCTTGATTGAGACTGGGATCAAAGGGGCAGTGTGGATGAATGACCGAATGACCTGTGTTGCTAACAAGAACTCGCTTGTCATATTCCTTTTTTTGCAATGTTTACCATGTGTTTACTTTGCTTGCTGGCTTGGTGCTTGCTGTCTTGGCTGGCCGTATAGGGCACTAGTGCCAGGAAGGATTTGCGGATTTGCTGCTTGAGCGTCTGAGCAGCATGCCCCCGAAGAAGCGTTTGAAGAAAACAGTGTCGTTAGCTTCTGAACTATCATCCACCTTGCCACCTCCTGGTGACCAAAGTGACAACGACGATCCGGTTGTTGCTGAATTCGCTAAGGCGTTTCTTAGCTGTGTCATTAAAGTGAGTGTCACTATATACTTTTACTTTGACTTAATCTTTTACAATAACTGTTATGTTGTTAATATGTTGTCATTGTCATTTGCCATTTTGTTCCTTTCCACCATTTGTATTATTTTGTACTATGTGTACCTGACACATGTGTCATGTGGCGTTTCAACAGTGGCTCAGGCTGGATGAGGAGATGAACAAGGAGAATGTAGAACCCGTAGAACCAGCCCTGGACGCGGAACCTGATGAAACGGACCAGATCGATCCATTCACGCCTTTCGCAGTTCCTCTTGTTGATGACACGGTGCCGCATTCAGGTCCAGGAGCGTCAGTAGCAACGCCTTCACTTGCAAGCTTCGATGAAAATGGGTTTGGACAGCTTACCACGTGGATCGGGAAGGCACTGATGCGTTTGCCCGTCGACATGAGACGAACATTGAGCCTTTTCCACCGTGCCCATCCTGGTCCTTTGCTTGTGGGCAGTGCTTGCAGTGGCACTGATGCGCCAATTCTGGTGGTCAAGGCTTATGCCGAAGCCGTTAGGACCCACCTCCACCTCGTCTTGGAAGTGGACCACGTGTTTCCTGGCCTGCCTTGATTGTGGTTGGTCCAAACCGTATTTGTTGCGGCAAAACCAGTAAAACATATTCTGAGTCTGAGTCTAACTAAACTGTTTGTTGGGTCAATGAGACTGTGAACTAATGAGACTGTGAACTTAGACTTAGAACTGATTAGAACTTATCATATCCTGTATCCCAGCTGAGGTTCAGTTGCGAGAAGGATGAAAAGAAGCGGGCATTTTTGAAGCGGATGTTCAGCAACACACGCGGCGCATGTATCTTGACAAGATATTAAGACACATGTCACAAAGTGCTGCGTATTATTATCATGTCATATTGTATTCATTCATGATTCATGGCGCAAATAAGGGCCGGACATATGTAGGATGCATGCCATGTGTGTAAAATTAGTTTATCGCTGCAGAAATAACATTAATTAACATATTATAAGCATTAAACATTATATTATATAATAATATAACTTATTATTATTTCAATTCAATTATGGTTATGTCGTCACTGTATGGTATGTCATGTTCAATTGATATGTTTGATAAGACCTTTGATTCAATTGCAGTCGTAATAGGACAGGTAATAATATGTCCGTTCTGTCCGTTTTTTGCGTCGTATGATGTCATGGGTCACTACAGTAGGCTCGGTGGTTGTATGACCGTATGACTCGTATGACAATATATTCAGTATGTATGACTGTAGCCTACAGACTGTAGCTTAAGCTGTTACACATTGTTACAAGTATATACTAAGTAATTAAGTATAGCTCCAGGGTTTACTGCTCCATGGGCTACTTAGCTTGCTCTTGTTGAGGCGACCTTCGCAGCCTCTACACCGATGCAGCTAACTTGAAGAGTGGCCCGGGGGAAGAGGTCTACAACGATATTAGTGAACAGGACGAGCCCGTTCCACCGTGCCAAGACATGTTTGCAGGCTTTCCTTGCCAAGATGTGAGCAAGCTGAATCCTTCTGCACCTCAAAATCGGACTGTCATCCGCGACGCCAGCAAGCGGACTGGCACTGTGTTCAACGATGTCCTAGCGTACTTCTCCAAGTTGGAGGCTGGCAATTGGCCAGAGCTGCCAAAGTACAAATCCTTGATTTTGGAGAATGTTCTTGGTCTGGTCGAGCGGCCTCCTGGAACAAACCCCACGACCGGTGAACCATGGCCCAGCAACCTGGAGTATTGCAACCACTTGGCGCGCAGGTGCCTGGGGCTAAAATGATTTGATGCCAGTGTAAGTCAAACAAATTGAAATTGATGCGATGCAAAAAACCGTTGTAGAGCAAAGGCATTCCAGGCAGTTGGCAGAGTCGCAAGCCACTCCCAATTCAATTGGACCTGTGCAGTGTAGCTGACAGCTGAACGGCTACCGTGAATGACACATGATTCATGATTTAAAACGGCTAGGCTAAATGGGCGGGTGTGTCAGTGCGGTAGCTCAGTTGTCAGTTGGTCTCTCAAGGCATGGGTTGCTGATGCTGGCGTTCACCTTAGACCCACGCAGCTTTGGGATGCCAGTCACGCGAAGCCGTGCATCTTGGAACAACTTGCGCACTGCATTAGTCACTAGTCACACGTGACACACGGTGACACACTTGTTTTCATATTTTAGTCTTTGTTGATTCAACATTTGTTGACTTGACCTTCACCAGGGGATTGTAATCCTTGCACTATGGCTGTGAGGTATGGCTAATTTGCTTCAGCGAGGCACTACTGCGGGATGCTCACATGACTGAAGCAGATGTTCAGCAGCTAGCACAAAGCGTGATATTGAAGGTTCGCGATGCTCAAATTAGAGATTTGGATGAGTTTCTTCTACCTCTCAGCCACCCCTTGGTACAAGCAGAGCTTCAGCGCGCCAAGCAACTCCACGCAAAGAGGTTGGCAGCAGAAGAATCTCGGAAGACGAGTGGGAAAACCAAATCAGCCAAATGGCCTGAAACTCACGCTCGGGTTTGCCACTTGTCTTGCATCAATTGCTAGTGTCACTCACGTGGTAATTAGTTTTAGGATGTGTACAGCGGGCATGATTCATGATCCTGCAGTACCGAAGGGCAAGGACTCGGGATCAAAGGATGCGCAAAACACATTGTAACATTGTTTACAACTGAGACAATGAGATACAGTCAGTCATACATACCGTGAACACAGAACACAAATACACATTTCCCGTTAATGTTCCAGGACGACAAATCTAGTTTGGGTCCAGGTGGCCCGGAGATCTATCTCTACCTGCATAAGTTATAAACTGACTCGTAACTCCACTGTCACTCACCCTACCCCTACAGTGTCCATTGGCGATCCCACCCTCATGGGCCATGACTCATGGGGTTATATACTCAAACTTGACTCAAACTCTCAACATCTTCTTTTCCTGGTTATATGTTTCATCCGCAGCTTCCCTCGAGCAGCACTAATGCTGGCCCCACCAAAAATCAAAAACACTAAAATAAAAAGGCTAAAATGGTAGTAAACCAATTTCCTGATGTCCAACTTTGCTTGATAAACAATGACAACAGTCCACAGTTGTAAAATCCAAGGTGACCAACTTGGGCTTGACTGGTGGGACAGTGGGGTGCCGGCAGAGGATGTCTTGAGGGATCACCCTGGCTTGCTACGGCTGACAGATCGGCAGTTTGACTTCTTGCGCATGGTTGGGGTGAATTTCCCGGACAAGCGAAAATTTTGTTTGGAATTGTCGCAGAACCAAAGAAATACCAGGGCTGCCCGCAAAGTGGTGTCAGGAAGGGCTGACATCATCACTCCGAAAGGTATGCAGCTTGTGGGACACCAGGCCCGCTGCCTTTTAGGCTACGAAGGGCTCCTTCTTCAGGGAATTCACTATGGGCCTGAGCACTTTAAGCTTGAAGAGCAAGACGATGATCTCTTGCGTGATCTTGCTGGCAACGCCTTCAATTCCTACTGTTGCGCAGCGATTTGGATCACAAAGCAATGTGTGATGGCTACACTTTGGGAGGCTGCAAAGGTTGCCACCAATGGGTCAGAAGATGACCTCTTCGTGTTTCGCGGATGATGAGATGATTTGTTACCAGCCCGGAGAAAGGGTCTGTCCGCATGGCCACATGGCTGTAGCTGTAGCTGGTGTCCAACCGGGTTTAACCGTGTTACGTTTGATGAGCTGGTGTCAGAACTGCTTTAGCTTTGGCTGGTGTCACTGGCAATTGAATAATTGTTTTGGCTCGGTTTGACCATTGGATGAAGGTGAAACGTAATTGGGAGATTGAATGATAGTGCAATCATGACATTCCTTTGGCAGGCCTGGCATTTGGTGGCCTACTGCAAGGCTGGCACAGGGTGGGTGACAAAGACTTTCTACTCGCTCCATCACTCGGTCTGGTTCACGACTTCAGCTGAAAACTCCCAGTGTGGTATTGACTCAAAGGCCTTGCTGCATGCTCTTTTGATGAGCTCTCACTGTAAGTCTTTCCTGCTGAGTCCTTGTTAGGTAATTGTTAAACTGTTATTTGTTACTTGTTGCAACTGACCAGCAGGTGAGTGGCTCAAACGCAACCAATTGGATCCTGTTGATCGGATCACTCAATGCGGTATGTCGCTCGGCTCTTCCGGATCGCAATCGGCCCTATGGGGAACTCCGCAGTTCAAGGGATGCAAGTACTGCAGGAGGGATCGCCAATTTCCAAACCCGGTTAAGCTCCTTTGCTTAATTGTGACTGTGTCATTTGAAGTGGTGGTGGACTGGTGCACTGGTGGATGTTGACCATTGACCGTTAGGCCAACATCAAAATTGTGTGTGTAGACTTGACTGTGCCTAATTTGGACTACTGGCTCTTTTCCGGCGACCTTCACCGTTCACTATCATCATCACTGCATCACTGTACTGCAAATGAATCTGAAGACCAGAGATTGATACATTTTACATTGATGCTAGTGATTCCGTGGCCTTTATGCACAATTCATAAGATATTCATTGTTTGCGTTTATCCTTCCGCCTTGATTACCTCAACTTTTGATTCTTGTGCTGACCTGAGGATTCTGGAGACAGATCCAGAGTTCCTGCAGTTCAAAAGCGAGAGGCACAGTGAGTGCTTACCATGCCTTGGAAAAATCCGCAAAGCAAACTCTACCCAGAACAGTCGCTTGTCTTGGCAGTTATGCTTGACGATCTGATGCGCAGGGCTGAGCAGTACTGACAACTGTGGACAAACATTTGACATTGACATAGACTAGACTAGACTCTACATAAACATTATCATATCACATTGTCACATTGCCATACACATTCATACACAGTATACAGCGTAAAGTGGCATGCGGCATACAGGCTATGCAGTACATATATTGTTTGTGTCCACTTCATATCGTAATTCACATAAAAGGTTTGCTGGAATCTGTCAAAGAAGTAAGTAAGTAAGTAAGTAAGTAAGTAATTAGTAATGACTCATGACTGTTTGTTGGTACGTAAATTTAGTATATGCACGATAGATATGTATGTTATATGTTATATGTTAGCAACGTAACGTATGTGTTGTTATGTTAGTATGTTAGCATGCAAATAACTTATGCAAAACCATTTTTGATGTATGCGATATCCTAAATCCAATTTTGCTGTTATGCTCTGATTTGTCTGTTCTATATATCGCGGTATACCCGCATACTGCATACTCCCAAATCCCGCATGCCGCTAGGCTATAACTTTACTGTGTCACAATCTCCTGTTTCCACCCTTTTAAGGTGGAGAGGGGCGAGCAGCGCTGGCTAAGAAGCTTGGTGAGGATCAGTCTGCGTATGAGTCTCACATGGAGGAGCTGAGCGAGTATGAAGAGCGTCAGAAAGGTCGCCAAGCCCCCCGCAAGCGCAAAGCAGAGGACCGTCTTGATGTCAAATATTCAACAGCACTATTGGACACATGATATGTAACATTGAAGATAAATACTGTGATGCTGCGCTGATGTGCCACTTACGTTCTGCGTAGGACCAGTAGTCAGTAGGCAGGGGTAGGTATACAAAGTGTTGTGCATGCCTGCTTGGGAAAACCTCACTCGCTGAAATTGCTAATAATATGTTAACTGTTAACTGTTAACTGCTGTTAATATGTTATTGGAACATCATCTAGCGCTGGACACTTGGCTAGGCGGATGACGATCATGCAAAACGCGTGGAGATGTCTACGGAAGCTGGCTTGGAGCTTTCCAAACTACTCGGAGTCCTATGGCCCTTGCCGCTGTTCAAGGAAACTGTTGGCAGGGATGCAAAAACTGCTGAGATAAGCAACCTGTTTGCACTTGCGGCCAAATCACAAGTATCGGGAACAATGTAATTGTAACTTGCAATTGCAACTTACAAATAAATGATCCACTCCACAAATCACATAAATGTCAAATGAACTGGAATGCATTTGTTCTGTTATGAATTGGCCATTTGATACTTGGATTCTGGATAAAGAAATATAAATATAAATTAATGACTAAATGAAATGGGTAAGGCAAGGTAACGCAAGATTTGAAGTGCCTGACCTAGCTGAGGCAAATTCAATGTGGCCGGCCAAGTTCTGACAGGCGTTCTTCGAGATCCCAAGCATGGTGAGCCCATTGGAACTACACGGATCACTGACTTCAGGCGCGCCGTTGGCTCTCACACTGTCACTGCAGCGACAAGCGATGATGCTCTCAACGAGCAAGAAGTTGCAAATGCGTGGAAGTTGGCGCAGAAATTCACTACGACCTCATCACAGGAGGGTTTGTTAAGTTTTGTTTGCGTGGTATAAAGGCCACCAGGATCCAGGATGAGTTTGAGGATAGTCAAATCGCATGAATATGATTGCTACATTATTTATTGTATATTTATATATAATTTATACTTTCTCTGAGGTACAAAGTTACCGTTTGCGTCTAAGTGTTTGAACATTATGTGTGCTTTTCTCTGATTGATTCTCACTTAAGGGAGTTGCAAAGTCTGCGCTAGGGCTAGGTCCTAGGGTTGCTTGAGAGGTTTTAGAGTAGACGCCTCGAATCAACACTCAAAACTCAAAACTTATCTTAATGTTAGTCTTGGTCTTAGCTCTGAGTCTTAGCCTTGGAGTCAGAGTTTGAGAGCTCAACAGTCAACAGTGTCAAGATTCATTACTCTTACAAAAACTAGACTTAGACCCTGACCATAAATCATAAGCCCCCCAAATCCTGGTGAGGAGAAAACAGAAGAGGATGGAAGCAGCTACCTTGTTGCCACGTGCGGGGTTGGCAAGCGCAAAGCAGATGACTGGGATGATCTCTTTGATTTTGGAGTGCAGGCTCAAACAGGGGAACCTGGTGGCAAAGGTGGATCAGGCGGCAATGGCAACCCTCGCAGGAGCAACCGTTCAAGCCATGGTGTGAAATAGTTTTGATTGAACATAGCTATCGTGTGAAGTGTTATTCATTGATTAACACTAAACTATGTGACTATGTAGACTATGTAATGTAGTTATTCATTACTAATTAGATTATGTTTTAGTCCTTTTATATATATATTATATATATATATGTGCTTTTCTTTTGCTTGTAGGTGCCTGTTTGCCACTATTTATACATGGAGTCTGGAACTAGGGGGTCTAGAGGCTACAAATCAAACGTTCACACACGCTCAAGTTGTCACTTAAGTTTTGTGGACGTTGGATGGGATGCTAACCCTGCAACAGGAAGCCGGAAGGCAAAAATGGCAACGCTGGAGGAGGAAGGAAGCTCCCTAGGCAATCTGGTGGCGGTGGCAGTGGTGGAGGTGGCGGTGGTACTGATGATACAATCCCACCGATTCCTGTCCCTCGCAACCCTGCAGTGAACAAGGTGCTGCCGTTATTGTTTGTAGTCTTTCTTTGAGAAACTCTCAGGTCGGTCATTGGAGTAGCTCGTGCAGTACAAACACAATGATACACATTATCAATCTCAAGACTCAAGGCACAAGTGAACCACTGCTAAGAGCTGACTGTTTGTCTTTGACGGTTTGTGTTTTCTTGCTCTTGACTTTTGCAGTCTAGACTTATACTTATACTGATACTATTATACTATTATACTATACTTAAATACTGTATACTGTATACTGCCACTGCAGCAACTCACCACTGAGTGATCTACTAAGTGAGTATATAGTAATTAATAATTAAACAGTCTAACTATATGATGTATCATGAGTATTATGTGATTCATTATTATATGATATTGCATATGGTCTTGTATGGTCTAAGTCTATGTTATGTTGTCTACGCTTGTCAGAGCTATCTTATTCACTGTCTAATATATTATATTGATATTACATCTATCAAAACTTTACTATAGAGAGTCATAAAGTATGACATAAAAAATTGTATAATATTATTATGTATATATATTATATTATACTATATTACAATATAGCCAGCCGTGTCCCAATTGTCTTTTTAATATCTTTTCTATTTATTGGCGAAGTCTCACGAAGTCTCGTCGTCTGTGATTCATGGCCAGTGCTACGGCTACGGTTATTGCTATTCGATATCCGGTGGCGACTTCACTCGTGACTCATCACCCTGCAAGGTGACCAAGGAGGTTCAAACCAGCGAGAGGGTCATTCTTGAAGCTAAGCAAATTCTTGAGAATGTGGCCAGCGAGGATGGTATGGAGGCAGTCACTACCAAGCAAGTCCAAACAGCTTTGGACAAGTTGAGGCAGGGTGGGACTGTTTGTGCACGTGTCTGTAAAATAAAAAGCAGCCCAAATGAATGAGTGAAAGCTCCAAGCGGCAGGCTTTTCAGGAAAGTTAAGTAACAAGAACAATAAGAACTAGAACAACAACAACCACTACTACTACTCCTTATTCTTGCTTTGCTAATGCGACTCGCTATGTACAAGGAGAATGTATTGCCGATATCCACACTGGTGCGAGGATTTATCGAGAATCAAAATTAGATTTGACAATGTGCTGTTCTAACTCTGCATTCAGGAATGATGAGCATGAGCATTAGGATGAGGTAGGACATTTACACTGTTCACTAGCAGCAGCAAAAGCATAACTTCCCATGCGCGCACGTTCATAAAGCAGATCAGT